CTAAAACAGAATTATTACTCTAAGCCCATTGGTTTAAATGGATTTAGAAGGGTGAAATTGACCTTATGATTGCATTTAGGATTGCACTGTGTACCATGCCTGCAACTGTCCTCCTAACTTCTGGTTGCTGTCAAAAGCAGCTGAGCTCTTGAATTATAGCTCGCTTCTGAAGCTGCCTGTATGGAGACAAGGACTAGTTCCGGATTTCTTCCAGTTCAGAAATTCAAGGCATCAATTTGCATCAGTTCAGAAAAGCTGAAACAAATTATGAATCTAAACTGCAGAAGACAAGCATATATTCCAATATCCAGTTTGTAATGTATCCATCTCAGACCGGGTGTGTGGCCATTTTACCACGCGGTCATGCGAAGCGGCCGAGCTTCGCTCTCAGTAACAATGGGACAAGCGGATCCTAGCCAGCACCTATCGGGAGGCTAGGCGCCCGGCCGAGAGCCTATGGAACTCTCGGCCACTGTAAATAGCCAATCACTTGTGTGTGGGTGTGTTTTGGGTGCGGGGTTGTTGCACATATAAACCAGTCTGTGAGCTGGTTACTTTCGTCTTGTTCTGAACTGAAGTAAAGTATGAGAGCTGAAATCACTAGTAAGTCTCAGTACTTTTCACAGCTCAAGCATTGATATTAGAATGTGCAGCACTTTCTGACTTCTAAACAAAGTCGAAGTGAAGTTATTGAATAAAACTTGAATCTACTGAAATCAATGACAAAAGCTTGAACTGACTGTAGTAGGAGAATTTTGGTGGTGAAACTGAACATTTATGTTTAGGATTCCAATTTAGATTTCAGTTTCTAATCCCTTGGTGTTGTTTGATGCTTGCAAATTCAATGTTTTACAGTGCCAAATCCCAAAATACTTAAATGAGCCAAAGCACTACTGATTTCCCATTGATTTAAATCTGTTGATTTTAAATGGAGAAATTTGCTACATATGCTCTGAGATTAAGGAGGGTTAGACCTTCATATGGATCATGTCCATTAAAGACTGAATGATTTGACTGCATTAAAACTCTACAAATTTTACATTTGGCAAATTCCTGCAATTTGCCTCAGTTAGTTAGGTCAAAACTGAAGCTGAACATCAAGTCCATTTTGCACAGCAACTTCCACTTAATTTTAGTCCTGTCCTCTCCCTTCATTTAACATTTGAGGTTTTCTTTTCCAACACAGACCCAAACTAATTTTTATTTTGGGGGGGAAAAGCAAAGAAAAACACACCTATCTAGTTCTGACATGATTAAGCCTTCTAATATTGATCATAACAACAATAACAAAAATGCTTCTATTTTTCATTAATTCAAACACACTTCAAAGAAAATCCAACACTATAACTAGCTGTTAGTTAACTTTGTTTCCAAATAAGCAATGAATTAGCATTGCTCTAACTGAAATTCAGGGGTGTTTATCTTTTCCATGTTATTATATGTTTCTGACTATGTGATTCTACTTGCTCTGTATAGATCAAATCAAGGGATGAACCTAGGGATCCCAAGTCCCCCCGGGGGGCGGGGAAACCCCTGCCACAGAGGCCCATTCCCCGGCGGTGCCGGATCAGGCCCCAGGGGGAACTCCTCCCCGACGTGTGCGTCACCCGGAAGTGACGCAGGCATGCCGGGCACGCTGGGGGCGGGGCCATGGCCATACAAGGGAAAACTCTATGGTTTTCCCTTGTATGGTCGTGGCCCCGCCCCCAGCATGCCCAGCATCATAACTTCACTTCCTGGTAATGTGTGTGCGGTGTGTGCGCGCTTTGCGCGTGCGCTCCAGGATCCACCCAGGAGTCCCCCGCTGCCAAGTTAAGTTCCACTTGGCAACCCTAGATGAACCATTGCTCAGCTCAGGGAAGCTCTGCTGATTTTAATGGCACTATGCTGCCTCATACCAGCTGGTTGCAAATTGTTATGAAATGTGAATGTGCTTTGTCTTTGTGTTTTCAAGTACTCGGAGCCATCCATGACATTTTCAGAAGGTGTAAGGAGGGAGGAGACACTAAATATTGCCTGTGTAATATTCTTACGTTCAGACCTTTGGAGACAATATGTTCTAGACCTGTGGGATGCCCAGCTTCTTAAGTCTTGGGAACCATAGACTTTGGTATTTAGCTAGTCATGGTAAGTGTTTGTGTGGGAAGTCATTCACTCAGGGAATGGGTAGCACTCAAGGGCCCGTTCTGCATCTAGCATTCACTCTGCTGTTTTACCAAACCCAAGTTGGAACAGAAATTCCCCTCTACAGCTCATTCTGCATCTAGCATTCACTCTGTTGTCTTAACCCACACTGGAACAGAAGAAGATGTGGCTCAAAACCACATTCAAATACCATACCCCGGGCCAATATCGCACTGACTGCAGAGTCACCCCTGAACGACCATAAAACAGCCATAAATCTATGCAGACAGTACCATAAAACCAAGAGATCAAAGGAAGTGAAACCGGCATGCAGTGTGGTAGCTACCATAAAATCCGACACTTGAAGAAAGTGAAAGTGTCATGCAATGTAGAGGGGAATTTCTGTTCCAACTTGGGTTTGGTAAAACAGCAGAGTGAATGCTAGATGCAGAATGGGCCTACATTGCATGCCACTTTCACTTTCTTCAAGTGTCGGATTTTATGGTAGCTACCACACTGCATGCCGGTTTCACTTCCTTTGATCTCTTGGTTTTATGGTACTGTCTGCATAGATTTATGGCTGCACTGGCAAAGCAGGATATTAATTGAAATGAATAAATAAATAAATAAATAAATAAATAACTATTATGCACGTTCTCTCTCCTACCCAAATGCATGCGTGTGCGCACACACACACCACATATAAATCATGTGAAAAGACCGTCTGTCTTTCAGCTTTAGTGTCTTGTCAATAAAAAGAATAAATGATGCCCCTTCAAGGAATGTAGTGAGGAGGAAAGTGCTAAAAGTGCTATGAAGATTCCTTCCAATCGCATCCCTCTTGTCATAGTAACATGAGCCCTGTGTTAATATTTGGGACTTCTGGCAACTAAATTTGGTCTTTCTGTTCTTGAAGCAGGTACTTAATTTAGTGATAATGGGGATTATTTTGGATGTTACCAACATTCAAAACGTATCATGGGGAAACTCCTTTTCTAATTTGTATGATTGCCCAGGCCAATGTACCTATTTCATTCAAATTGTCTGATGGATGGGCGTGCATTTTCTTGTCACTGTGAACAATGTTATGCATTTATCAGGGACCAATCATCATATTTGCCATAGAAAAATAGCACCTGGAATTTTGCCCCCTAGGGAGTGGCCTGTCCCACCCTTTGAAATCATGGAGATGATCTGATGAGATGCATGAGAGCGTTAACACCTGAAGATTCAAAATGTTGACTAGCATGTATTGAAAGGAGATGCTGGCATGTAAAAACAAATGTAAGTCTTGTGAAAGTCCTTTTGGTTTCCCTTCTGCAAAAATGCAGACAATAGAGCTTTGCCGTCATTCTGTAGTTCTTTAAAAGGTAACACATAGAAAATATTACCATATTCAGAAAGAGAGAACTTCATGTGGCTATGTGCATATTTTAATTTATTTGAATGCATGCAAATTTTAAGATGACTATTGACTAACATTCACTCTGGGCTAAAAATATCTAGTAGGGTGGTAACGGGCAACCTCAACTCTAGGATATAAGAATAAAAAGGCAGAATGAAGCTGAAGATTCTTCAGTTGTTTGCAGTTTCCACTGCATACAAGTTATGTGTTCTATAACTGTCCCTATAAGTTGAGCCATTGAAAAACATCAACATTTTAAAGCCAACACTAAATTATCACTCTGGCTGGGGGCTAACACCCTACAAGGCATTAACTAAAGCAGATAAATGTTTTAGCAGTTTCCATAGGCGCCTTACCAAAGGAGAAGAAAATGTAGCCCTTCATTATTGGTCAGTTAAGCTGTCAGCTGATTTGTCAGTCTGTCATACGATCACACAAATTCCTTCATAGCTTCCAGTTAGAAAAGGGTAGATCACTTTGTTAGTGGTCCAGAACTTTAGAGAAAAGCCTGCTGTGCATCATGTCTAGGCTTCACAGCATACACATTCAGTCAAGATTGCAAAATGGTCAGGAATATGAAATACAAAAATAAATCAAAAGGATCATCTGGTGAACATCAGGTTCCCTTGTATAGTGTTTTTTTTAATCCTCTGCTGTCCGAATTCCACCTTGCATATTTCATTACATTTCCCTCTGCATAACAAACTGCTGATACGCTTCAATCTTCATTAACATTATTACAAACAATCCTCATCCCACCAATACTCTACTGATTTTGCCTTGTATCTAAAAATATAAGTTTCTTAATAGATACAGATATATAATAAGCTCTATTTTTAAAAGCCCTTAAGAGCTTGACTAGTTGATTCATATCAGAGTATAAAGATTTCAGCAACTAAACTAGTCCTAAGGCAGACAGGTGGCTGCAGCCCCTAGAATACAGGCAGAAATTGTATTTGCCTGCTACTTAACTGTCACATGTTTTATCTAGAAATTTTCCCTGGGTAGAAACAATACACACTCACACAAGAAAGGAAGGGTGATGGAAAGATCAAGTGGATGTAAGAAGGAAGAGGAAATTGCAAATGATCTAAAATGTTCTTAGTTGCCAGAAAAGGTCAGCTCTTCCATCTTAGTCAAACGTCCTCCCTTCCCCTACAAGGAAAATATGCCTCTGCCTTAAAGTAAAAAAAAAATATCCATATTTCTTTAAAAGAACACAAAAATAAGTACTGTATTTGTTTGTCTCATGGGACACAGAGTTTCCCTATATGTGTTTCTTTCCGATACATCCAGCTAAGTTCTCTGGATCTTGTTTTCCCTGACACTTCTGACCCCAGATAATAAAGATGTCTCATTTGCCAGAGGATTCTTCAGTCGGTAAAGACCTGCAGTTCTGGGAATATCTTGTTCATATAAGCAGGCTGATCTGGGATGATCTTGAGCCTTCTAGCCAGGGATCAGTCTTTTATTAAAGACACCCAGCATTGTTCCAGTCATTCATTTCTGTCTGCAAAGAAGGGTCGCTGAGTTCAAACAGAGGATCCATGTTGACAGAACTTGAGAGGTAATCATTTGTCCCTTCATCCCAGGGGTGCTGAAGGAAAGAAGTAGCAATTAAGGTTTCATCAAAGTCCAAGCTGTTCTGGTTGGATTCTGTTAGGACATAATCTTGTCCAACCGGGCACCATTCCTGTGGACAGTCAATATGCCTTCCATGCACAGTCAGGTCTACATCCCTGGTTATTGGGCTAATAGGAGGGGTGATCTCCAGATCCTCAAAGGTGGAAAAATCACCATTTAAGGTGGTATCGAAGATAGCCTCCCAGTCAAAGTCACCTTTCAGAGACCCAAGCTCTGTCTGTTCTTCCTGAGTAAGCATGGGGGAACTGGAGAGGCGGGCTGCCTTGCACATCCGTTTTGGTAGTTGCTGTTTGCGTTTATGGCTCATTTTCCCATCCACAAGATTCCAGTTTTGATCGCTGGTGACTTCTTCAAACTCTTTGAGCAGTTGTTGAGACTCCGTATTGATTTTCAGAATGCTGTTTTTCCAAGAAGTCGCCACTTGGTTAGCAGAAGAACTAGAGCTGGCATCTTGTTGGATTCTGCCACTAAAGGCTGGATGGATCTGCACAGGGGGCATCCTGCGCTTTTTGAATGCCCCGTTCATCAGTCTGTCTGCATACTGAGGATCAATTTTCCAGAAGCCACCTTTTCCGGGTTCATCCTTTTCTCGTGGCACCTTGATGAAGCACTTATTCAAGGACAGGTTATGCCTAATGGAGTTCTGAAATCAAAAGAATAAATAGCTTAATTTTGGCAGCATTAGAAACAGCCTAATTCAAAAACTAGGTTAAGTAACCCCGTTTGGAATGAGTGCACGGTGAAGCTGCCATATATAATTATGAGAGTCCTTTTAGCAAGAGAGAAAACTGGAGTGCTTTAAAACAATGAGACTATCGTATCTGGAGCGCTTTTATAATCATGGCTAGGAGTATGACTACAGACAAACAGATGGCCTACACCAATCCAACACACCTCAAAAATGGATTCACATGCCTTAATGTTCCATCATAGTCTTTAACAAAACCAAGCCATTAAAACAATCCTATTTAACCATATGAAGTAGAGGCAAATGTATTTCTAAGATCCCATTTAGATTTTTTAGACCCGAGTAAGAATCTGGCAACTGCTAAAAATTTTATTTTAACCATTTTTATGCCACCTTTCCACCCAATCAGGGTCTCCAGAGCAATGCACATAAAAACATTAAGATATTCAAACAATTAAAAACATTTAAAATGATAAAAGTAATTCAATAAAAACACAAACAAACAATACCAGAACCAGGGAGGAAGACTAACAACCATTATTGGAGGGTATGCCAAATGAAACAAAATAGTCTTCACCTGCTGGCAGAAGACCCTGATTGAGGGAGACAGATGAATCTCCCCAGGGTGGGAGTTCCAAAGTTTTGGTGCCACAGCCAAGAAAGCTCTTTCTTGGTTCGCCACCTGTCTAGACTCAGATTGCAGGAGCAATCGAAGAAGGGCCTCCAAAGATGACCAAACAGGTAGGTTGATATGGGACAATGTACCTCTTTTGCTTGTGTTGAAGGGACTTTATGTCCTCATGGTATGGTTAGAAGAATGCTTGCTCTTAAAATTCTATCATTTATCCTGAGCTATAAGGGGAAAAAAGAGGGGTAGAACTCTTAGGGAATGTCTGCCAACAATGTAGGTTCAAATAATTTTCATATAGACTTGACTGCTAACGCTATGGTTCTTTAAATGCCATTTCATGAAGTGGTTTTTAACAAAGAATTCTTGGTACTCTTGGATAATCACAATTCCTACCCTGTTCATTAGTTTCAATGCACATTTCAGTGAACAGTAGTTTCAGTGAAGTCCTGTGCATGTTACAATGAACGTGCATACATCTGTTTAAAAGAAAGAGCCAACGTGTGTTAACTTTGCAGCTGGGTAAACATGGAGTCTGTCTTGCACATTCAGCTATAAATACATTGAATGTAACATGAGGCTTATCCAATGCATTAAAAATAAGTGTCCACTGTACACAGATTGAACGTGTGTCCACTGTGATTTATGCACAGGCCTATTTACAATCTGTATACAGTGCACATTTGCTTTTCCATGCATAGAGTAATTCTCATATTATATTCAATGCATGGACAGAGGAGTGTGTGACTGAAAACCTACATTTATCTGGATACTGGCTTCTGGTTTCATTTGTAACTGGCTCTTTCTAGGGTTGCCAGATCCAGGATGGGAAACTCCTGGAGATTTAGGAGTGTAGCCTGGCGAGTCCACCCTCCAGAGCTTCCACTTTCTCCAACAGAACTGATCTCTGTAGTCTGGAGATGAGCTGCAATTCCAGGGGGTCCCCAGGTCACACCTGGAGGCTGGCATCCCTAGCTCTTTCTTACAAACAGGTCTATGCACATATATGCAGGATATCCATGCATTCCCTGTAATATGTAAATAGGGCTCTATTGAATTTGGAATGAGGCAAAGACAATAAACCATTTTCAATCAGTACTGTAGATCTGATCTAAGTGATAATATATAAACTGTGAGGGAAATGGCATAGGAATATCTAATCATCTCTCTTGCCTGATATCCTCCATCTAGCCCTCTGTCCACTCATTTATATAAACTATTGCAGTCCTTTTCAGACACTCTATGTGGGTAGAATGAACATGTATAGGAGGGGGCGCAGCATCACAGTGGCAAGCTGATCTCCCATCCTGCACATGTTAACTGGTACAGTGGCAAGCTAAACTCCCATCCTGCACATGTTAACTGATCTCCCATCCTGCACATGTTAACTGGTATATATATATATAAATATATATATATATTTATATATTGGGATTGCTGCTGCAATTCTGCTCCCTCTCTGAGTGCTGGCCCTAGAATGAAACACTGGAGGTGGAACAGAAAGAAAAAGAGGGCTGTGAGCTAATGACAAACAGCTGAAGGAAGTACCATGGAGCCCAGAAGGGCAGAACTTTCCTGGCTGTGTAAAAGCTATTTTACCAGAGGCTGTTATAGGTAGTAATGCTAATTAATAGCAATATATTCTCCACATTTTGTAAATCTCTCAGAAAGAAAGAGAGAAAGAAAGAAATTTAGTTCTGTGGGGGCATACCCAAAGTGTTATGAGAAAAAAGTGAAGGAAATGTGTTCATTAACTTCTCTAATTTTAAGCCATAACCCATATTCTCTGTGGGTGGAAGGGGAGGTAAGCAAAAGAAATTAGATTTTTTACTCTCCTGTAGAGCTGCTTGAGAAAAACTAGGAAGCTTTTGTTTCCATAAGCTATAACCAATGAAAAGTAAATGGAGGAAGTCATCACCTGACTTAAAAAAAGAGATAATGCAAATGCTCGCCACATTTCATGAGTGTCACTCTTCATTTGGTTAAGATGATGAATTAGGGTGTCTGAAAAAAATAGTGTATCTGAATAGTGTATCTGTTACTAACGAAAGCTGCTCTTAGGCAGATGATGAATGCATCTGCAAATCAACATGTTAAGTCTGAGGCAGAACAGGTTGTATTGTTATGAAAGCTGTAGTAGTGAGAGTGACTCAAAGAATAACCAGTGAGTGCAGGAAGCAAGTTCTAGAGGCTAGTCTAATTAAAAAAATATATATGTTATTATAGAAATGACAAAAGTGGGAAAATATCTTTACTTCACTTTCCTGTTTCTCTATTTTTACAGAGTCCACAGCAGCAAATGTTACAAAAGGAGCACACTTGAATAATGAAAGAAATTGAACAAAATGTTTGAGCTTCCAAGATAGCACTGTGATTAATGGTATCCTTTCTGGTGAGGCCGAAATCAAATTTCTATTACCCCTAGGATTGCCATTTCTTCAAAAGCACAAATCTGGCAAGGGGCAGACCTCTGGCCCTGGCCCTCCGACCCAGTGTTAAGACAAGTAGGAGGAGGATATCACTGGGGTCAAGAAGAAGAGCTTCCATGCTCAGGAACAGAACTGAGGACTCAAAGGACAGAACACAATGGTCAAGTGGCAAAGCCAACCAAAAAATACCAATTCATAAGGTGTAAAGTTTCTCTGTGCGTCTGTCTCTCTCTGTCTGCCCGAGGAGATATCTGGAGGTAAAGGAAAACAGGAGCAGAATGGGAAGCCAAAACAGCTCAGATAAAGGGCCACACCCCTACCCATGGAGGGAAGTCTGGCTTGTGGTGGCAGCTTGTTGACTTGCCCAGGACCAGTTCTATTGCAATCAAGACAAGACACACTTCATACAGGCTCACTCCAGGTGTAGAAATGGTCTCCTGACCTCAACCTCAAGCAGTGAGGGGGAATGGGGAGGGGTCACAATGTTGTCCTGTGACACCACAGCATCACTTCCAACTGTTTGGGTGTCAAACATGCAGCCCGTGGGCCGGATCAGGCCCTTGGAGGGCCCCAATCTGGCCTGCAAGGACCTGCTGTTTCCTGCTGTGTTTTCCAGTTCTGCTGATGTCGCCACATCACAGCTTGCTTTACCAGTCTCTGTCAATTGCACAGGAGAGATACATAGGCAAGCCTCTCCTGTGCGATTGAGAAAGTCTGGTAAAGAACTGGCTGAGGCTCCTTCCTCTCCTCCTCCCAGGGGGAGGGAGGGAACAGCCAGAGCTTGCTTCCAGGCCAGGTTGCAAGAGACAAAGGGAAGCCTTTCTTTCCTTCCACTGGCTGAGGCTTCTCCCTGGAGGGAGGGAGGGAGGGCAGCATGCTTTGTTGGGCTGCTTCAATCGCATGGGAGAAATACCAACTACCTTTAAGACCAACAAAGTTTTGTTCAAGGTATGAGCTTTTGTGTGCCTTGCTACAGTGTGTGTGTGTTTTGTTGGGCTCTTTATGCCAGGGCTCTTTATGCCAGGGCTCTCCTGGGTGCAACTGGGTTTCCTCCTCCTTTTCGCTGTATTCATGCCCTCATGATCCAGTCTTTCTCAGTAAGAAAGCAATGGGAACTATTTTAGAGGAGGAATAACAACAAGCCAGTGAGGTGGATTAGGCTGAGAGTGTGTGTCCAGACCAAGTTCACCCAGCACATTTCCTTTGTAGGAAGTTCTAGTTATTTCTCTGGGGAAGACTATAGTTTTGTAGACAAACACATGGCCCTCAGTCTGTGTCAGGATGCCTTCTCATGTTCTTGACCAGGACATGAAGCAACTTATGTATAAAAGGTTGCCTACAGCTTACAGCTTTCTTTCTTTATTAGTTACAATCATAGATCAGTCACGATTGACACTCATAGTTATCAGCACATTTGCAAACAATAAAATTTCCAGGCAGCATGAAAGGCTGATTTCAATAGTAGAGACAATTAATAAGAAGACTTGACCAGCTGCTTCCTTGTTGATCTTGCCAAGGGGCAAAATTTGGCCACCTTAGAGGTGATTTTGTTAGAACAATATGAAAGGGGGACGATATTAAATTCATCAGATCTGCCTGGAAAATTTAATAGAATTGGAGTTATTAAAAACAGTAATAACATGGGAATAGTATAAAAACATAGAGAAAGAATAAAATTAGTAACATAAAATAATGTTAAAAGGAGAATACAAAAGGTTGCACTGCCCAGCCATTTCATGTTTTCCCCTGGGTCCTAGGCTCGGAACAACGAGCATGAGATTTTTTTTAATGAATATCAATAAATCAAAAGTAGGTTTGCAGTTTACAGATACACACCTGAACAGCATATTCAAGATTGCTACAGTACAGACATTTTGATGCAGTAATTCAAAACAAGA